CAGTATTTCTAAGTCACATGAAATTGCCGATATTGAATCGCACCTAAAAAGTGGTGTTCGGAGACTTTTGGCGGCCCTCTGTAGATAAAAAGATGCCTTGGCCAGTTGCATTCCCAGATAATGAAAATCATCGAGGAGTATGGCAAAAAGGGATCCAGACGGCAAAGGATATGTTTAAGGTAGATAGTGTTAAATGTACTTTTTCAACTTGGTTTTCAAATTAAAATGAGCTCGATTTAATTAATACAATTTGGAGAGCTAAAAGCGAAAGGAAATAGAAAGAGAGTGCAAAGACAATGTTTATTACTGAATTATCCGAAAGAGAAAATCGATGCGAAAACAATAGAAATTGGGATGCAGAACATGCAGAACATTTTGAGCAAGCTGTAGAATTGAATAAATATGAAGCTAAGATGACTGAAGTACGGGCTAATAGAGATTTAAATGCAATGATAATGATAAGTTCCTTATAAGGGTAACAAGATAAAGATAATTGTGATTCGTGAATCAAAGAAGGCTGGTAAAAAAATTTATTCCAGGAGATCCAAATGTTACTCTTGTACCGAATGCTATATCTGTTACAATGTTATCTTTTCCTTTTATTAAAGAAATTTTTTGCATAATTTTTTTTTTGTTAAAAGTTATAATAAAATTTACCAATGATATATATGAAGATTTCGGAATTAATATAATTGATGAAATAATTTCTCGGCTCGGGGCAATATCAAAAGTTATCACCTTGAAAAACTAACTATAAAAAGCTAGTCTTAGTAATCACCAATCACCAAAATAGAATATTTATAGTGGTTTTATGACATTTGCTAAAAGCAGAAATTATGATTGCCAAATCTGCATTTTTTTTCACAAACAATGTCATCAAGTAAGAATAGTCGTTTTGAAGTATTCGAAGAGAAAATTAAAGAATTACAACTTTCTGAGGAAGAACAAGCGGCATTTCGTAAAGCGAAATCACAACTACAAAATCATAGTGTGTTTTTACGGAATTTTTGTTTTTATTTTCAGTGATCCTTTAGAGGTTTAAAACTTTTAGTTTAATTTGTAGCGAGACTTGGTGCACTTGCGGGACTTTTTGTTGGTGGTTATGTTTGTATGTATAATTGTACAATATTGTTTCTTTTCAAGTTCTTATCTAATAAATTTGATTTTTAGCTAAAGTAAGAAAGTTTACTATCGGTACAAGTATAGCTATAAGTATAGGATCAATAGCTATCGGAAGTCAGATAGGATTTTTTACTGGAGCTGCTGCTGGAATAAGAACTGTTAAATCTTTACCAAATTCTCAAAGAATTTTCGAAATTGTTAGAGAAGTTCAGTAAAGTATCTTTTTTTTAAAAAAATAATAAAAGATTTCATGTATCCCTAATTTGAATTGGATTATTATTTTAATTAAATTTTATATTATAATAGAAATTTCAAAAAATTTCCTTCAAGAAAAGGTCGAGAAGTAGAACATGAAGATAATAATAAACCATCCACTTTCCCCGATGAATTTTCATCAGATAATCAAGATTTTAACGATAGTGATGAGGGTAATCAAATAATATATGTTTTTAATCATATTTCTTTCAAAAATATATATCTATTAACAAATCTTTTTTAGGTCAACAATCTTCATGGACAAATTTAAGATCACCATCAGCTCCTTCACAGGATGATAATAATGGTAGTTCATGGGATAAAGTTAGAGCACAAAATTCAGGTTCAAGCACTTGGGATAAAATTCGTCAAAATAATAAAGTGGGACAACAACACAAACCTACTTCTGATATATATAATGATGGTAATGAAAACTTACCAAGAACAAAAGAAGACTTTGATGAATTATATAATAAAGGTAAAATTAGAACAAATATATATGGTGATGCCGAAATAAGATATGAATAATAAATGGATATAACGTTTTATAAAATAATAAATTATAACAATCATAATAATAATAAATAATTATTTATTGTCAAAAAATAAATAAATAAATAAATAAAGTATTTATTTATTTGACATTATAATCATTCATTGGTTCTTGGACAATCTATCTCTTCAACTACATTCCACAATTCTCTAACCAATCTCAATTGACTTTGTTTGGAAGTTTCATCACCCTCATATGGAGAACCAGCTCTTACAGCTAAATATTTTCTTCCTAGTATATCAACAGGTTCTTCATTTGGTCCATTACCACTAACGATAAGACCACCAGCTTCTCTCAATATAACAATAGCAGCTGTTACATCCCTAAATTAATATAAATGTATAATTTATTTTTTTTTATTTTTTTTTTTAAAATAGAAAGAATTACAATCATTATATCAAATATACATACCACTCCCAACAACCAATTTCCCAAAATATATCGGCTTCACCTTTTACGACTTCCATAATATTCAAAGCTGCACTACCAAGACTTCTAACACCATGAACCGATCCGGAATTTTTATTACTCGAATTATCATTACCAGATATTGAAACCATATTATGTATTGATTGAACTTTTTTTCCTATAACCATGGGAGATCTATCACTACCATATTCCGTTACAATTAAACATTGTGATAAATTTGGTGGTAAAGTAAGTGGTGGATTTGGATGTGATAAAGGAAGTTTTGTATTTAAATTAAGATAAGCTCCATTTCCTTTACGTGCCGTAAATAACTATTGACACGATACAAAAAAAATTTAGTCATATTATTGGTAAAAGAATGAAAAATATGAATTTACTTTACTTGATTGAGAAACGGATTAAAAATTGCTCCAACTACGGGTTCTTTGTTTATAGTTAATCCAATGCATACCGCAACAAATGGGAATCTGACAAAAAAAAAGTTTTAAACATAATCTTTTTGACAAAGGAAAGAAAATGCACATAATTTACCCATGGACAAAATTTGTCGTTCCATCTGAATATTATAAAAAGGATTTTGAAGTTAAAAAGAATTTTCGAATAGATATAACCATTATATAATTCAATTAATTCACCTATTGGATCAACAATCCAAGTTGGGTCATTAGTTAATTCATATTGAAGACCAGCTGCAGTCGTTTCTTCTCCAATAAACCTATGGTTATATTAATTAATCTCTTTTTCGATTTTTATAAGGAAAGTTCGAAATTGTAATCACCTGTGTTCAGGAAAGTTTGAAATAATCCTAGATTTAATTAATTCTTCCACCATTTTATCGGTTTCGGTTACTAAGTCAGAAGGATTACCATGTTTTTCATAAACTTTCTTTGTCTTTGAATAACGTGCTGTTGACGCTTCTAAAATTATTTTTCCACATTCTTGTGCAAGTGAAGTTGCAAAGTCAAGATAAACCTCTAGGCCTTTTTTTTTTTTTTTTTTTTTTTGAGGAGTATGTTAAAATCAATTTAATTAAATTTAATGCCAAAATTTATGAGAATGCAATATACTTGTCATTATTTATAAAACTGCGAAATAATAAATTTCTTTTTTTTTTATTTTATTTTTTATTTTTTTATTTATGTCATGATGTACAACGGATGGGTATTACACAAACCTGTACTAACAAAATCCCACATTAAGCAAAGTTTAAATTGGCAATAACAAGTCCTGTAAGAGAATAGGCTCCCACGTCAGCCTAAGCTGACTCCTTTTCCTTTTTTGTAAGGTTAAGATATTTTAAGAGAAAATACGAGCACCATTTATGTCTCTATCAAGATTTATTTTACATCGGGGGCAGCAAAATTCCTTAGATCCACCTAATTTT